TTTTTTTTGTGAATTTCAAAAGCTATCAAGCTGGTGGTACATTTTCTTTAGAATTGCAGCTCACCCGAGCACAAAAAATCTGTAAAGTTATCCAGGCCATTTACATTAATATGATCACACCGACCGAAAGAAAAAAGAAGAGAACTAGTTACTTAAGCAACTAATTTCAGCTTCTGTCTCGCCACTGATACCCCTTCGAGGCATCTCCTGTTCCTGTCCTTTGAGGCAGTCCACACCATGCACAAAAGGTGTACATACAATACTTTCTGGCTGCCTTCTAGACTGAACAACCCGTCTACATCAATGATAATTCCACCATGGTTATTTTCGTATCCGATTCCATGCCAAATAATCCAAGAAAAAGTTACGTGTTGTTCAGTAATCAGTACACGTCAAAAAAGCATACACCAAATATATTGTCATTGTTCTCTCATAAACAAGTGTACAATGGTTGGAGAGTTTCCTTAAGGTGTCGCTGCTTGTTAATTTATTATTAACTCCTTTATTATACATTATCTGGACTTTGGTGAGAATAACAAATACCGAATGTACCGAGGGGGTTATTATCTTTTTTAGCTTGTTTTATGTGTAGTATGAAGGATCTATGTCCCCTTGTTCGTCCAACACAGGTAGGGGTTGGGGCAATGATAGGGTAAATGAAGGGTTTGAGTTACCTAGTTAATGTATATTTAAGTGATGCAACAATCTGGGTTCAGGTAGAAGAAATTCTTTTCGTATGTTAGAGACTAAATGAGTGATAGGAGATGAATTAGGTACAATAATCAGGATATTATTTGTATTATCTCAGACAAATGGTCCACAAAACAGTTTAAAAAAAGGACTCCAAAAGCCTTATGCTAAATCATTTTACTTTTATTTTCATGTTGCAAAATATTCTCAATTTATGAGCTCTTTTACATTTGGAGAGCACCTCAAACTCTTCCTTGCAGGAACATTGATTGTAATAACGCACATACAATCTTCAGTTTTGTGGAATAAGCCAAAATCTTATGATGTACTTAATTCTTACAGTTATGGACAAACCAAAGGACCCTCGGGATATCTTTTAGATGACTTGGTTAGCTTACTAGAGATTAGTTTTTCATCATCAGTTTCAGTAAACAGAATATTGTTTCTTAATTGTGGTTATTTTAAAAAAGAAGGAAGGTTTAGCAGTAAGAAGAATGAGTAAAAGACAAGACATTTAAGGTATGGGATAAAAGAGAAGATCTGAAATTAGAGAAAACGGAGATAACACGTACTCAATCTTGTGATGTCTATTATTTGTCATTCGTAGTACTTCAACAAAAAAAAAAAAACTTTTATTCGTAGTTGTCACTTGAGGCTTCTATAGGAAACTGAAGGAATCCTTTGGATCGAAATATGAAAGCCTGAGCTGACAATTAAAGGTAAAACTTGAAAGTATGTGGATCAGCATACAGGCTAAATGAAATTTGCCAAAATTTCTTTTGCTGCTAGATATATTACTTAAAGGTATACACTTATCAAAAGAACATTTTTTAAAGGTATTTGCGTTTTCGTTTAAAACTTTTGTTTGTAATCTGTATATACTTCCATCTATTCATGGACAGTAATTATTTTGAATTTCTTTGTATATAGTGATTCAAAGTAATTGTTCTTTCCTTTGTCATCTGCCCTTCTGATTTCTTATATTTTCTTATTAGCAAATTTATGAGCATGTGCTGCTTTTTTTACTTCAATCGTAGTCTTATCTAAACAGAGTTGATGTTTACAATAGTTTACATATATATTAGTTTTGACCAAGATTATCTAATTTAGGTGGTATGGGACTCACTGGCGCGGGAGGTTCTTCGTCAAGCTTCTGGTATTTTTTACAGTACACTTTAACAAAATTAAATTTTTAGTTGTTCAAATGCTGCCATTACCATTATCTGCAATATTAGGTGTTTTAATTCATAGCCTGACTTTTAAGCACCAAGTACTGAAAATTACTTTTAAGTGTTGGAGCTGATTTGATGAATAAGCAGTTACGCGTTAGTGCATGGTTCGATTGATAACCAATTGACATGATAGTGAAACTGCTTTATAGGTGCATTAGTTCTCATGTAGCTTGTTCAGTCTAGGTGTGCTTTAGCCTTTATTTTTGCAGAGGTTCCTTCCACTCGTACACTGGTGGTGAGAACATGATTATCCGCTGCAATTTCGTCTGCGTTACTGGGTGCTCTTGAACTGATGAATTGAAAAGTTTCCCTACAAAAATGTTGATGTTTTGACACTATTGCTTCCAACATGGATATGTGGTTTAGGTACTGCTCTTAGTTTGCCCTTTCATTATGCTGAATTTGGTTTGCCAATTTGATGATTCAGATCCATCTGCAAGCGCTGATCTGGCTGTGGTTCTGATGCAAGAAGGATTGGCACACATACTTCTTATTGGTAAAAGGTAAGCTTCACAATCTGATAATCCTCTTGAATATAAATTTTAAAACAGATCTTGAGTCTCTCCTTTTCTTTTATTTAAATAAGATGGTATGATTTAAAAGACGAATGAGAATGACAGAATTTCTATTGCGGACTTATATGAATGTTTAAGGCTGGGTTAACTAGATAGTCTGGCATGATTTAGCCTTATTTACTTGTTAATGTTGTGTTAACAGCGTGACTATTACTCGTTCTCGTATAGAGACTTCTATACCACGCAAGCATGGACCAGCCATTGCAGGTTATGATAAGGTATGTCTCCTTTTGTTTCAGCTTTTGTATTATTTAATTATCTTGAACATGATATCTTAGTGAATATGAGTTCTTAACTTTGTTTTGCAGGCGTTAAACAAGTTCTTTGATAATGTTCTACAGGTAGACTTTGACAACTTTCTTAATGTTGCTTAATGTTCATAAGCAATATGTGACAAGTTCTTATTTCTGTTTCAGGCCTTTGTTAAGCATGTTGATTTCAAGGTAGTTCGCTGTGCTGTGATTGCAAGTCCAGGATTCACCAAGGTATTCTTTGTTTTTGCCAGTTCTTTCTTGTAAAGTTACACTTCTTTGCAAGTCAAACATTTATGCTATGTTACAACTGAAAGAACGTGCATACCTAAGTTTATCTCTACTATGCATATGTTATTTAATTGTTGTATATATCTTCAATCTTTTTCTGCGTATTAAATGTGCAGGATCAGTTTCATCGTCACCTGTTGTTGGAAGCCGAAAGGAAACAGCTAAGACCTATAATAGAAAATAAGTCACGCATAATTCTTGTCCATACAACCTCGGGATACAAGTGCGCCCATCTCTCTCTTTCTCTCCTATTTTATTACAATTCACCTACTTTTTTTGTCTAGTTGATATGTTATGATTTATGATGTAAAATCATTGTCAAGCACGATTGTTTAAGCCCAAAAGTTTTTATCTGGTTGACAGACATAGTTTGAAAGAGGTTTTGGAGGCCCCAAATGTAATGAATATGATAAAAGATACAAAAGCTGCCAAAGAGGTATTTCATGACCCTTGCTCAACATATTATGATCTTTATTATTCTTATACTTATGTTCGTTTAAAAGTCTTTTTCTTACTCATATCGAATTACAGTTTCTTTTTCTCTTCCAATCTTAATCAGGTCCAAGCCCTAAAGGAATTTTTCGCCATGCTTTCAAATGTTAGTTTCTACCCTTGATCTCTCTATTTTTTTTTTATGTTTCTTAATAAGTTTGGGATATTTCAGATTGTTTTCTTTCATTAGCTAAGAGTGCAAGCAGATTGTTTGTCTTTGAAGTTATATTGCTGGGTCTTATTGGTGTTTGTTTTTATCTATCTGTCATCTTGGGTTCTGTGTTGGGCCTGAGAATTTCAAATAAAAGTCGAGTTGTTTTACTATGCATGACGGAGATCCCTGTTTTAAGGAAATCAAGGTGGACTAATCTGAAATATTTCAAGATTAAGAACAGACTCATTTCAACCTACCTTGGTTGAATTTATTTTCAGCAAGGATCTGTCATAATTCTTAGATATTTCCAACCAACAATTTTGAACTTTTATTAAATTTTAGGGCATCTCAGCTGTATCTGAGATGTGCAATAAGTTTGATGCCTACTTAGAGATCTGCCTACTTGACGAGTGAACGATTCTTTGAAACTAAAACATTCACAAATGATCTCTTTGCACCTAGGAATGCATAAGTTGAGGATGATTTGAGGCTTATGAGGTTTTGGCTGTTGAGTATTTGAAACATCAGAGGCTGGCTCATATTCTTTGTAAAGCTTCTAGACTAAGAAAGAAATTCTTTTTAGCTGGAAATTCTGCAAATGGAAGTTGTAAATTCTTGCTAATCAATATATCTGTAGTGCCACCACGAGTTTCTTAGTTGGATCTTTAGTTGACCAATGTTGAATTTAGTTCGAGGAATATTCGTCTGCAACGGTGACGCCATATTGATATGAGAGGGCTAGAGGAAAAATTATCATCTGAGATGCCCCCCCCCCCCCCCCCTCTTTTACTTCTTTGCAGAAAGTATACAATAAGTCTGTCTGAATTAAAACACTTTTGCTTAATTCCCAGGTCTATAGGCCATTACGTCTAAACACTAGAGTTACATTACATGAATTATGATATTCATTGGATATATATGATGCTGCTTTTCATTTTTTTGAAGTAACTGAGAAGGATAACACCGTTTGTTATAAGTTTTTTCCGCTCTCTTTTTAAGAATTTGCAATAAATTTATGGCATTTCCTCTTTACTGAATCTCTAATATTTATATGAACGAACTTCACCATTTATGAAGTTAAATGTACTTCCACTTGTCAAAAAGGAGGTAATACAAAAATTACAGCATATCTGTATAGTTACATTGCCACAACAAGTATGTGAGAATTTGATATTGGAGGTTTTATTCCTTATTTTTAAATATATTTTAGTGGAAGCTTATGTTTATGTTAGAATTTGATATTGGAGTGTTTTCTTTTTCTTATTTTAAGATATATTTTAGTAGTGGAAGTTTAAGTTGCTTTTTTGGTACTTCCCTAGGATCCTGACCGTGCATGCTACGGACCAAAGCATGTTGAAGTTGCTCATGAACGAATGGCTGTCCAGACACTTCTCATTACTGACGAGCTCTTTAGGTGAGCTATCTACTGGTTCCCTGGTTGAACTGATGGGCTATACGAGCAATAAAAATGAAAGTGTGTTGTTGTATGGATTAAGATATAGCTTGATGATATATTTACCTGCAACTCATGTTCTTCTAGTTGATAAATATCTCTTTTTACGTGCTTAGCTTTTGAATATGGGGTCTTTGGTGCATAGGATTTGTCTTTTTCATTGCTGTTGTCATATTTGAACATGTAATAACTTTGTATCTTCATATCACATTGGATTATAAACGGTCAAGAGGAGAAGTTGCTTTCATGAGATATTTGTCCAACATATCTACTCTTTATGTGAAATTCAAAAGTGGCCGCTAAGATTTAAAAGTTCATGTACCATGTCAATACATGGTCCAGAAGATCAATAGAACATCCCCTCAAGCGCTTGTGCAGAGTGCCAAACCCCTGTTTCATGGGTGAAATAGAACTAATTCCCTTCATTTTCTATTGTTTTCTTTTCTTACTTTTTCCCATAAATGAACCTGCCAATTTAGTTGTTGTCCGTTTCTTTGGAATCGAATACATGATATCCTTAAACCGACTTTATTTTTGAGGAACATGTGAGTGGTGAGAGTAAGTCGTTGGCTAGGGCTTTGTGTAGTAACTTGATGAGATGTAAACATCTTACTGTATCTCTTTCACTCCTTAGTGTATATAGTTGGTTGATTGTATATGAGAAATATCTAAAATCTTCTGATTTGTTGACAGGAGTTCTGATGTAGCAACGAGGAAAAAGTATGCTAATCTGGTTGATTCAGTCAAGGATTCAGGTGGTACTGCTCTCATTTTCTCGTCAATGCATGTTTCAGGAGAACGTGAGTATATAGTTACTCTAATGTTAATTTCCTTTTCCTCCTAGCATTTACATCTGTCATTCCCAGTTAGACTATATTTTACTCGGTCCTTGGTTAGTATTTTACGGAACAGGTCTCTTGGAAATTGATTCGTCTAGTGTCATCTAAATGACTCGAACCATATATCCCTTTCTGTGCACATGTTCATTGTCACATTCACACTTTAAATCTTTTTCCTTCCATCCTGCAAACACACATGCTTTACTGCATATTTGGTTAGACTGATTAAAGTAATTCTTGGTTGGGAGAACAGAACTGGCACAGATAACTGGCATTGCTGCGATCCTTCGTTTTCCTTTGCCGGAACTGGAAGATATAGAGATGTGAATGAAGAAAGGCCGTTCGTGGGTAATGTTATATTTACACTCCTAAAAATGCCATACACACCAGAACAGACTATTCACTATAGAAAGAGCGAGAAACTGAAGCTGTAATCATTCTTAGGAATGGAGATGGCCGTGTTGTTGTACATCCAAATTTTGTCTTTTTTATTAACTAAAATGTAATGTATCGTTGCCTGTTGAGATGTACTATACCATTGTAGCGGTATTTTTCATCGCAGGTTTCTGCTTATAGGAGCCCCATTTTAATGTATTCACTTCTTTCATGTTCAATTAGAATATCTTTATTCAGTGGTGCGCTGATGTAACAAGTCTTTGGACTCTTGATTGTTAAGTGAAGTTCTCTTGTTATTGACAGCTGCTCTGGTTTTGCTGTTGTTTCTCTGACAAGCACATTGTTTTGATTCTTTTTATTGTTTCTCAGGAGTTTGGCTCGTTTCCTCTCATTTTCCAGATTTTTTCTTCGTTTTCCTTTGTATATTCATAGAAAGGAAAACGATGGAGTGATACCTACCACCTCATCACTTCTCAACCAATTTTTCATCAGTTTTTTTTTTTTCCGTTTTGGGGCTCGATTAAAACCGGATTTAGGTTCGCGCTTGGAACTTTCACTCGGGGGTAAAGAACTTCCTATCAAAGGTGACTCAATTAGAGTGATTTTATTTTGCGTCTCACAACTCACACTAGTTGTGTGAGACCTCTTTTTATCTCACATATTTGTGGACCCATATCTTACACATCTGGGTCTACAAAAATTTTGGGACCACACAATTGTGAGACAAAAAAGAAGTCTCACACAACTAGTGTCAGTTGTGTGAGGCACAAAATAAAAAATTTAGTATTCCTAGAGCTGGAATTCAAGACTTTTAGTTAACGATGGAGTGATACCTACCACCCTATCACAACTTTTAATGGTGATTTTTGAAAAATTTTATTTTGTGCCTCACACAATTGACACTAGCTGTGTGATCCCAGAATTTTTGTGGACCCAAATGTATAAGATATGGGTTCACAAATATATGAGATAAGTAGAGAACTCACACAACTAGTATAAGTTGTGCGAGATACAAAATAAAATCACTTGTGATTTTTCATCTTTTATGACAACTATTCCCAAATCTCAATTGTCTTGAAACACTCACATATGATATTATGAGTGTCGATCATTTCATTGCCAAAAAAATGGAGTGATCACGTAATTTGAAAGGCAAAGTTCTTTTACATAGAAAGGTGTGTTAATAATAGAAATGGAGAACAATCAAACATAAAATCAGAGCTGGCTTAACCCCCAGGCCACTAAAGCGGTCGCTTTAGGCCTCATAAAAATAGAGGCCCCAAAAATTACTCTTTTTTTACATGTAATTTAAATATTAATTGTATTTATTATTAAATAGTGATAAGAAATTTTTTCAACCATCTTTTGCTACCTTGTTACCAATCTTTAATAACATAGTTTTATATTTTATATTGTACTCTTTTTGCGCAGTTGGTTGAGAAAATTCAAATGAAAGTGGAAGGCAATTAAATCTGCAGTTACTTTCTAGTTCTTCTTACTCCAACTTGAATAAAATTTATTTACAACTCTAGCTTTGTAAGATATTTTATTTCAAGATCTCTGTAGACACGCTTCAAGCTAATTAGATCGTAAAATATTTATCATCTTTGTAAATATAAATTTCTACGTGATTGTTAATTTGGGAGGCAATGCTATATAGTAAGTTATGTTGACGGTCATGTGAAATGAAAAAATTCAAAATTAAACTTAACAAAATCTTATCAAAAGTTAGTAATGTTTCAACAAAGATTAAAGGGGTTGGTTATATCGTCAAGATGAAATTGCATTTCAAAAAAAAAAAAAAAAAACTTCGACAAAAATATCTGAAATTATTAAACAAGTTTAAAGCCTCTTACTACGTCTTGGCTTTAGGCCTCCAATACTATTGAGCCGCTTTTGCATAAAATGACTCCACTCAGAAAAGCAAAAGCAATACTCCATTACATATATAAATTTAAAAATGGAATTTCTTTCATGATAAGCCAAATCAAATAACACTTACTACCAACAAAAACTACTTGGAAAATCTTAGAAATTAAAATAACTACCATCAAACTATTATTTATTTTGATCAGAACCTAAAAAGACATAAACGCTAAAGATAATAACCTTAAAAAATGTATGATCAATAAAATATTGATCCAACACTTCTCTTCATGTCTTAAATAATTCTTAATTCTTCTCTCCTTTGTCTCCTTTAGGTGGAGATGGGACTGGTGGATGCATGAATGGCCATGGATGATGACGGAACCATGGAAACCACCATCAGGCATGGGTGGATGCGGGAATGGCCATGTATGATGAAAATCACCAGCAGGCATTGGAGGATGAACGAATGGCCATGGATGTGGATGGAACCATGGATGATACCAATCTAATTCTTTATCTTGCAAAGACTGAATCAGATTTCTCCTTAGTAGCTACATTCTCAGTTGCAAAACATAGGTTGAAAAGCAGGAAAATGCAAATGAGAAAAGTGAAAAAGCAAGAAAATAAACTTTTCTTAGCCATGGTTAATAATTGATTATAGTTTGTACTTTAAGATGAAATATCAAAGTAGGTACGGCTGGGATTTTATAGGGTTGTTTAGTAAGACATTCTGTTTACCCTCAAAATCGGATAACGATTGAATTTGTAAGTGGTTTTAAGGATACGTGGATTAAATTGACGCAAAACGACAAGTTAAATTGTAATTGTAAATAAAGTATGATAAAGCAAATTCAAACCACATGAATTAAACAGTAACAACCTTGGGGTGGGGGAGGGGGTGGGGGTGGGGTTGGGAGCCACCCTTTAGCAGAAAGCACTTCGATCAGTCTCAAGATACTATTGAAATAGAACTTAAAGAGAAAATAACAGTATATTGCTTCTGAATGGATGTTACAATGTTCTTTACAAATAATCAGGCCCCCTTTATATAATAGGGGGGTCCTACTTTAGGTACAATTCTATAGAAGGTAAAAGATCCAATGATTTGCTAATTAGCCGGTTTCTCATTGATACGTGTCAAGATTCCCGCCTTGATACCCCATCGGTTACGGATATTTCAGCCTCCCCTTATTCGGTCTGACAATGTTTACTCGAGCTCATTCGGGGTCAGGGTCGATTCTGGGGTCATGGACTCGATGTTCTTGAAGATGGGCGTTCTGACCTCGTATCCTAGTTCGATGGAACCTGGGGTCGATCTTCAACCCTTCACGTCTCAATCCCGATCTGTCATGCAATAGAAGAGCCCGATTTCGACCGTGTACAGATAGTCCCCTCGTTTTTTGGAGAGTAAACGACGAGAAACGATATAAGCTCCCGATTCTCGCCTCGATACTCCGCATCTGAAACGACAAAATGAACGAAACATCTCGTCAATCACGTCTTAATGGCATTAAATGCTCGTCAGTTGCTGGCCGGCCACTCCTGATTTTGAACCGTCGTTTGAAAATTATAAATACCCCCTCCTTCATTCATTCAAAATTTACATCCACACCTTTCCTACTCTTGTTCTCAAAAATCTTTGCATTTTCTAGCACTTGTACCCAGATTTCTTGATATCTTTGTAAAAACTCTCGCTTGTCTTCACTCCAAACCATTAAGCGTACCTTTTAACTTCCTCTCCTTAATCTTTATTCAAAACAAAAATGGCGAAGACTTCTAAGACAATTCCTCAAAAAAAAAAAAAACTGCTTCTTCATCACGGCTAGCCGGCGAAGAACCAGCGGCGGAACCTCTTCTTGGCGCGTTTATTCCTGGCGGGTGCTCGGTGACCGCCGACTTCAAGGTTGAAAAACCTTCACCCGTTTCGGGACGAGGTGAGAAAGTATCGAGGTATATTTGCTCGATCACCGAAGAGACCCTCCCTACAGTCATAAAGGACTGCAACTAGGCCGGAAAAGACGTGGTGGTTCCCGGGCCCGAAAAAGATATCACTACCCACGTTAAGGGATATTTAAGTGTTTACACATATCCCTTTACGTTGGACCCCGTGATCATCCAATTATGTAAAAGGTACGAGGTGCGCCTTGGTCTGATCCACCCTTCATTCTGGAGGATAGTCATTCTTCTCCGATTCTTTGTGAGCAAGATTGACGGATTCCCATTCACCGTTGACCATCTGATGCGCCAATACAGTCCCCGAATCTCCTGGGGGGGGGGTCTAATTAAACTTGCGCGTGGGGCCACTAAAGCCCCTTTCTAGATCATCGATAAAGATCGAGACTAAGGTTGGCTAGGCCGATTTGTCCGAGTGGGAACCTCGGACCTGATCCCGGCCAAGGACATGCCGTTCCACGAGGAGTGGAACACAAAATGTAAGTAAAGTTCCGTTTTTCCCAGAATTTTATTTTTACTTTATTTTTCTCCTTTCTTATCGATGTTTGGTGGTGATGTAGCTGTTGCTCGGGTCCCGGATGCAGTTCCTCGACTCAGGGAGTGGGTCGATGGCATTGTGTCACAGAAACTGTATTCCGAGCGCGCATGGCGCGTACTTTCAAAGGACCGGTGGGAGGCCCGTTCTCACGATGAGATTCCTTCCTAGAGTGGACAACACTTGGATTTCTTCCGTGCTGCCTTACTCATTTCTTTTTTCTTTGTAGGTCTTTACAAGGATGTTGCAATGAGGCCTCCATCCGGCGACGAGGATAGCCCTGCCGAGTCCCCTGCTTCGGGGCAGGGTGAGGAGAAGAAAAGGAGAAAGGGTCCGAGTTCTCCAAACTCGGAGAAGAAAAAACCGAAAAGGAGGTTGGTGCGCAAATCCAAGGAAAGCACCAGCGCCCGAGAGCTCCCATCGGACTCAATCCACCGGCTGAGGGATGCGTCCGAAGAAGAAGAAGATGCTTCCGAACTGGTGGCCCGGGTACGAGGGAACATCGTACTGCCACAAACCAGGGGGGCCGATAAGGAGGCAATGTGATCGCGGCCTACTCCGCACTACTAATTAAGTAGCGAGAGAGGGTCGAAGCAGCTTTTACCCGATTTAGGGTCGGGATCGATATCCATAGAGAGCTAGAATTTGGAATCGAGTATCTATCTAGTGTAGAGTTGCGTATGTGTTCCAAATTACACTTCCAAACATTTTTGGGGTTTTTGTTTTACTTCTACTATTTATCAATCTACAAATGGTAAATGCAACTAGATTAAGCTAAGAGTTATAATGCTACGAGTTATTCAAATAGGTTAAAAAGGCACTAGGGTAGTGACTTCCGCCTAGGTGGTCAATTGACAGGTACTTGAATCTAAGGCACGTTTGACATGTTTGGGGATTATGTTATAACCGTTGCACGACTTTACCCACTCTACACCTCTCGGTAGTTCGAGTGATTTTGCCCGAA